TTATACAAAATAGAATCGAGTATGTTCAACCTTATTCTGGTGCAGAAGGGACACATGTGGAACACGATGTTCTAACATGTGTGCTGCAAGATCTGGTCCCTGACAATAGATGGATGGTATTGCAGTATTGGTTCAGATTTATTATATTCAAGATTCACTCTACAAAGAATATCAGTAAAGAGAGTTAACTTGGATGTTCTTGTACAACATATAGAACATGATGTTCCAATATCAGTGCAACATCTGGCCCTGGTCAGCAGGCCATGATGGATATTTCTAGGTATAAAATTTCTGATTCGGAATCAATTAGATTTATTGCAGATAATTTAGAAATGTTTGTGTGATTTGTTTGATAGTTGTGAAGATCAAATCATATTTAAATGGGGATCTTTCCAAGAGCTTCCTCATCTTTAATTTTGGACCAATCAACTTGAGGCTTGAAGCTTTTCAGATGCTATAGCTTATCATGGAAGAAATTCAACAAATCCTTGAAAATACTGGATAGACAATAGGGGACAAATATGCAAGGAAAAGGGTCAGACATTTGTCTCCAGCACAAGAGCAAAGAGGAAGACTACTCTCAAATAAAATGACCAAAATATTTTGAATGTGAAGGCTTTGGTATCATCAAAGTTGAATGTTCTACTTTTCTAAAGAATTAGAAAAAGGTATTAACCATCACTTGGAATGATCTTGATGAAGAGATTGATGGAGAAATTGCCAACAAGGTTATGGATTTCACTAGAAAGTACAAGTCTGAAGGAGACTCCAGTGATGGAGACATGATAGAAGAGTAATTGGCTGCAACACTCAGTCCTTTCTACACCAAGTCGGAGGAAGCTTGCTCAACAGTGGAAAAATATAATGAAACCATAAGTCTTCTTCAGAGAGAAAAGGAGAGTCTTGCCTCAACCATTATAGGTCTGGAAGAAGAAATCACTTTTCTGAATGTCAAACTTGAATATATGCCAAAATCTGAATCTTTGGTGAACAACAGTTCATATATGATAAATGATGTCTTGGAAGAGAATGTGAAGGTTGTAAGATTTGATTACAATCCCATGAACAAAAAGATCCAATCCCCTTATAAAGGGAATGTTGGGTTTCATATGGTGGACTGTATTCCTTAGCATCGTGCTCAACATGTGTACCCTCAACACGGAGGTTACAAGAACTCTACTAAGAGATGTCACGATTGTGGTAGATATTGTCATATAAGACCTTTTTGTTATAGATTATATGGTTATTCTAAATCATATAGTCAGTCAAGGCTCAACAAAAGAAAAGGGAAGAAGACTCAATCTAAGAAAGTATGGAAGCCCAACGAATATTTCAAGTGTCTCTTAGCTCATATCTTTCTTAGAAGTTCCTCTAGAGAGGATTGATATTTTGACGGTGGATATTCACAACATATGACTGGTGAAAGGAACTATATTAAAGAGTTAAGAACATATTCTAGTAGGAAGAGACATTGGAATCATGGGGTTGATGTTCCTATAAGAATACTTATATTAATTCGAAATAGTGAATTTTCTTTCTTTGGTAGAATGCTCTTCAGACGTGTGTGTGGTTTCACTGAACTGGATTACCAATATCTTGTGTTATTTTATTACTTTCTGCATTGTATTATTATTGTTGTTATTTTGTTGCCTTACTAGTTTAACAAGTTGGACCAATTATTTCAAGATTGTGTCCAACAAGAAGCTTAGGGAGTATAGCGACATTGAAGAATAATTGCAAAGTCAATACTCCACCCTGATACTTGCAAAATTATTTATACCTTCACAAAATTCCAAGCTACATGGTCCAATTGGGACAGAGCAATCCCCAAATGATTTAATATTTCTGCCTCAAAACCATTGAAGGGCATCCCAAATGTTGATAAATTTGACAAAATGCTAGTGTTGGATATCAAACCCCTAACACCAACCTATTACTACAGTTGATTTCTACAACCTTAGTGAAATCCTTCACCCAACCGTAATAAAATCTTCTTTGTGAAGTAGTGAAGTTTTTCACATTCTTAATGGAAAAAAAATAATTGTCATAAATTCTAGAATAATTCCGAAAATTGAAATACTCCTTAAGCTCATTGTTATTTGGTTCTCGGTCGTTCAAAGACCCAAAAACTTTCACGAACGTAAGAGCCTTGTGTCATCATTGTACACTTGAGCAGACTTAAAGTTTTGTTGTGGGCAATGCAAAAGAGAAGGGACCAACAATACTTAAACATTGAGGTTTTGATTTAGGTTTGTACTTTGAAAGAACAAAAATAAAGATACAAAACATGAGAGCAAGATTGTCAGAATCGAATTTTTATCTGATTTATTTTACTTAGCTAAAATCGATACGTAAAATAATAGAGTTTACCTCATATATAAATAATATTAAATTTTTAACTTAATTATAAAGTAAAAATAATCCTCGTAATAAAGTATAATATTCATAAGCTTGTATCAAAATACATAAATTATACACAAAATCATAAAAAGTAACACCCAAAAAAATATCCAAAAAATAATAATTTCATAAGTTTCTCAAATTAAAAAAAAAAACAAGTGTTTTCATCTTTATCTTTAACTTAATCGAAAGTTTGATCCTTCTACAACATCATCTTCATTAGTTTTTTAATCTTCAGCTTGATCAAATTCATCTCTAGTTGATAAAGGCTCTTCAAATTCATGGGCCAAAAAATAAAATATGCTTTTTAAAAAAAAATTAAAATAAATGTAAAATCAGGTCAAAGAACAAAATCCAATGATTTTATAGGATTTTACACGATTTCACCGATTTTAAAGTGATTTAAATCGTTTAAAATCGTTCAAAGATACAATTTTATATAAAAATGTTTTTACATGCGATTTAACACAATGATGACCTAAAAACATGAAATTTATAGAGTTTAAGTTTTAAATCGAGATTTTAACAACCTTGCATGAGAGTTTGACATGTATACAGACCTCTGAAAGAACTATGGTTCTATGTTGTCAAGAAATGATGCAATCACGCATTTAATACAATTTTGATTATTGGATTAAAATCAAATGATTTTGGATTAAAATCAAATTATTTAAAATTTAAGTTTAATATTTTTTTCATTTTAAAATAACCAACAAATACATTAAATTTTGAATCGTCTGATCATGATGTAACGACTCTGAAGATGTTGATTGCATGAATGTGTGAATGTTTTGAATGTTGGAGATTTGATTTCCTTCTAGACTTGTAAATTAAATGTAGAAGCAACATCTTCTACTACAATTCAAAAAATAATAATTCATATTAATTTAATAGTGGAATTAACGATTAAAAACGTGCAAAACCAAAAAGTTTGACCAACAATATTACTTCACACACCATTTCACTCAAATAACGAAAACAAGCTTCTTAATTTAAGGGTTTTACTCCAATGTGGAATTAAGAATTTCTTAGTATCTTATCAAGGTAGACAATCTTATCTATGAATCTAATATATCTATTATAAAATACACAACATGATCATAAATTATATGCTTAATCAACATCAATGCTAATGCTAATACCGGATTTTTGACCGACTGGTTCATTATTTATTTTATATAATAGCCATAATATTTCTCTTCATGTTTGGTGCAAATCAATGCAAACATAAGTAGTGGAATTCAATAAACGCAACATGAGCCAAATAGCAAGGTAAAGTAACAAAACAGCTATGCATAATGCATGTGGGACTTTGACCAAAAAATTGCATGTGTTAGTTCTCTATATAAGCAACACACCCCAATAGACATTTTCATCAATTTTGTGCCTTGCAAGTTCTCTTCTTCCATCATCATATCACATTAACCAACCAAGGCTCAATTGTAATACCAAATGGCACAAAAACATATTCTCATACTACTAGCTATTTTTCTCTCACTCCTCTTTGAGTCCTCTTTGGCCAAACATAACTCTCAAACAAAAACCTACATAGAATCATCTTGCAATGGTACCCTTTACCCTAATCTATGCATTCGTTGCCTTAACAAATTTTCACATTCAACCGTAAAGGGTCCACAACACTTAGCCCAACTTGCCTTATCTGTAAGCCTCTCTAGAGCCCTACAAACAAGAGTGTACCTTTTAAATGTAGTCAAGGAACTCAAAACAACTGATCGTAACAATAAAAGGATCTACCTAACCGTACAAGATTGTGTGAATCAAATCAATGATAGTGTTGACCAACTTAGTCAAGCCATCAAAGAACTAAAAAGGTTAAACCAATTTAGCACCATCATCAATGATAAAGTGTTGTGGCACATAAGTAATGTTGAGACATGGGTTAGCACGGCGTTAACTGATGCTAGTAGTTGTGTACAATCATTTCCTGGTCGCAGAATGAGCAAAAGGGTTGCGACGATTAAGGTTAGGGCGAAGAATGTTGCAGAAGTTACTAGTAATGCACTTGCTTTGTTTCAAAGTTATGCTTCTAGGTACAAACTTGCAGCAGCTGGAACAACCAAGAAGCCTTGATAAGCTAAAAAGTTTGCTTTTTTTTATCATCCTTTGTTTGTTCATGTATATTGTATACATGTTTTTTCTTTGGGTGGTCTTATATTATTATTTATCAAGTTTCATACAAAACAATTATTGTAACTGCACATTATAAAACTAATTAAATTTACATAGAAAACAACACATTTCATATCATTTTGATATTATTTCCTTTTGAAACATTATATAGAACACTTATGTCCAAAAACATTAAAACAAGGGGTGTGCCACATATATCATAAAGCCTCTGATGTTCAAAAAATAGGCTCAAACATCATTAACGAGCAGAAGAAAACACAACAAAATTACAAAAGCAAATAATCTTCAATAACAAACAATTCATTGCTAATCATATTTTTGACCAAAAAGTTACAGGATACACCAAAATATAATAGACAACCAGAGAAAGCAGAGCAATGGAATATGGTTGTCTATTAATCATATGATATTTTAGAAAATGGCAGCATATGTTTTCTGGATTCACCCAATTATGAATTTAACCAAGGAAAAACATTGGGTGATGTCTGCAACCTCCCTGTTAAAACTTCGACACCAGTTTCTGTCACCTAATAATCGAAAGAAGAAATCATATTAAAACGGTACCATCTAAAGGCTAGAATAAATCATATTAAAACGGTACCATCTAAAGGCTAGAATAAATCATATTAAAACGGTACCATCTAAAGGCTGCAATGTGCACTTCTAAATGCAAACCCAAGAGAAAAATATCAAGAAAACAGAAATGTTCTTACCAAAAGAGTATGCTCAAATTGGGCACTTCGTTTACCATCTGCTGTAACAGCAGTCCATCCATCAGGCCACAATCGATCTCGCCAGACACCTATGAAAAACTATCATTCATAAATATTTGCAATATTACATATATAATAAAAGTTATTTGTTTAATCTTTTTTACATATATACCTGCATTGATCATTGGTTCAATTGTAAAAGTCTGACCAGCCTTCATCACACCAACTGCTTTATTTCCTGCCAGTGGTTAAGGTGTATTGCAAGTGTTCTCTTCCTTGTAATCGTGTTTTTTTAAATTACGAATTAACAAAAAGTGAATGATAGTATCAATAAAACTGATTCTACTTTTGAAAATATTGAATTTATAGCCAATAAACTATCTGTTTATATTGAAAGAAAAAAAATACAGCTCAATATGCTAGATCAAACTTCAAAGGATGCAAAAAGTAATTTCCAAAAGTGTTTCTGCATACTCTGTAGTAGTGTTGTCAATCGTAGATATCAGAAAATGGCATTTTATTCAAATTCTGCTACATTGTAAAGCTTTTAAACCAAGGAAAGGATACTTCCATAATGAGGAATGTTTGGTGCACAATGGAAAAGCTCTCCAATTCCATGACCACAATACGATTTTACCTATAAGGGAGATAAAATATGAGCAAGGAACAAATAGATAAACCACCCAAAAGTGTGAACAAAAATCACTATGTATGTAACAAAGAATTGAGCTATGTACCACTGAGAAGCCTGACATTGAAGCATGACGATTAATAACTTCGCCAACTTCACGGAATCGTACCCCAGGTTTAACTGAATTAGATGGAAAATAATGAATAAGGAACATATGGTCAATTTCTTAAAATTAAATGTAATCTTTAGTGAGAGAAATCATATATTGATTTTTGACACAAATTTGACATGAAACATGATAACAAAATAGATAGTTAACACCGTTCAAATATGTGGCTAACACCGTTCAAATATGTGGTTAATGAATATAGGTGGTTAATTGTAAACATATATATAATATAAATCCATTAATCATCCAAATTCCAAATTATATTCAAATAAACATGATCGTACATACCAATGGATATTGCCTTATCCAGGCACTCATATGTGCATTTGACCAACTGACGTGACTCTTCGTCCACATTTCCCACAAAGTACGTTTCATTGAGATCACCTGCATAACAACTCACATAATTAACCAAGTGCAGAATTTTACAATCTTACAGTACAAAAGTTCAATTCATATAAATGTTATCAACTTACCATGAACACCTTTATAGTACACAATGACACCAAGTGACAAATTTAACAATCTTAAAGTGCAAAAGTTTAATTCATATAAATGTTAATCAACATACCATGAACACCTTTATAGTATACAGTGACATCAACATTTACAATGTCACCATCCTCGAGCTTCCTGTGTAATGACAAAATTTATGAGAAGTTCTGAATTTGAAAAGGATATAATTGTCTACTTTTTAACACTTGAGTAGTACTTGCATTGCATTGCGCTAATCAAGCATAAAGATATCATACGAAGGATATGAAGCCTGTTTGGTTTTTAAAAAACAGTTTTTGGGTATACTTTTTTGTATCTTTTCACTATTTCTTGTACAAATCTTTAGAAACAGAAAACAAAGTTAAACTTAAACAGCATATGTAATTCAAAATGAGAATAAAAACACTTTCCTCAAACCAAACAGACTCTTATTTTCTGTAATTATAGTCAGAAAATCTATAAGTAAAATTAAGTATTCGACACAGAAAAATGATAGGAAGAAGAAAGAAGAAAAACACTCTGATCATTCTACCTTGCATCAGGAATTCCATGGCAGATCACTTCATTAACAGACCTGTTAGAGAGAGCAGAGTTTGTTCTTGATAAACACCAATACAGTTTATGAACAATGAAATATGTACAGAAAGAAAGTACCTACGTGCAGCAAGATTTTGGAAAGAAATGGTAATTGAGAGGTGATGGGTATCCTCCTGCAAAGTTAAAATTATAGAAAAATATCACATCAGTACCAATAGATTAATTTATATCTTTTATAAATAACGTTTCATATCTTATCAAATAAATAAGTAAATATATATGTATCAGTGTCCAATGTTTTAGACATTAGAGGTGTCGATGTATCCATGTCGTGTTATGTATCTATGCCGGAGCCTGGAGCCTCATTGGCTTTGTAATTGCCAAATGACAATGAAATCAAGAAAGCCAGGGAGCCAAAATATGGAATATAATATTTTCAAGATGTAATACGATATAGACTTACTAAACTGAATAAAAGTAAAAGCTGAAAAGGGTTTCAAAAGTGAAAGTTATTAAAATAGCACCTGCAGCAATAGTTGCCTCGTGAACTACTCTATCAATTTCATCAGTTGTCACACCGGGCTGAATAATCCGAGCAGCAGCATCCAACACCTCTCTTCCAATCTATGAATCAATTTGTGAAATAAGTCTAAAGTCTACCATTCTACTTCAATATAACAGGAAAAAAATAAACAATGTTAGAAGAAGATCTCACCTAAACCACAGTTTTTCTTTTAATTTTTTTTATAATTGTTTGAAATACTTTACTCTCTTACTAATAGAAATCAGTACATGGACTGAATTTAATGTAGGCAATTTAATGTTGCAGCAGTTTATTTTAATTAACAGAGTAGGTTTGTTGTAACTTCTGATGCAGTTACCAGCCGAACAAAATAGTGTTAGAAAACTGCCACAAATGAATAAACCATGACTGAACTTTATTGATGTGCTTTGGAGATAAACTCTCAACAGAGTTAAGAGATTACAGATACAAATGGATAATTTAGAATCGATAGGACTGGTTACAAGAATCCCTCTCCAAGAGTTTCAGAGCTTGGCTACTACCTTTTCTTTTCAACACTTCATACTGCCCGCCTACCTATCCCCCCTGGTTGTCAAGATCTCGATTTAGATCTTAAAATCTTGCGATTTTGCCATCTCACTCACCCTCAACGATCCAAATCTTAAGTAGAATCGTGCGTAAATTGTGAAAAAATCACAAGACATTGATTATGTGCAGTCTTGGCCATTGAGGCACGATCGGCCGTTTTCCAGCCACCGCCATTACAAGCTGAGAAGGATGACAAGATGCAGAGGCACAACAACTACGGTTCGACGGCAGTCATTATTCCACGAATACACTTGTCTACCAAAAATCATGTAAAAATACTTCAACTATATAGTATTATTTTTTCGATTTAGTATCTTACGATTTTTGTTACGGTCTTATATTTTACGATCTTGCTATCCCCTCTGGATCTTACAAAAATAATAGGGTAGAATCTTCCGATCTTAATTACAATCTTATGTTTTACGAACTTACTATCCCCTCCCGATCCTTGAGCAAGATCTCAATCTTGACAACCTTGCTATCCCCACTTTTCTTCGGCTGGTAACTGCACCAGTAACAGATACTACAAGCCCGCTTATGTTAATTAAAAATAAACTGTCTACTAATTAGAAAGAAAAGGCTGCAACATAAAACTGCATACATTAAATTCAGTCCATATATTAATTTTTAGCCCTAGATCCTCCTATTATAATGTCTATTAATAAGAGGTATAACACAATTTGTTAAATAGGGCACTATAGCGCTATATCATATCGTAGCAGAATTTGAAAATATCGTTGTTGTTCTACGATACGCTATTAAGTGCATATAAGCTATTAAGTGCAAAATATTGTAAAATAGCGGCTGTATCAGCATAATAGCAGGTGGAATTTAAACAACCGTTATTTTCTGCGATCAACGATTTATAGCACAAGACATAAACCAGTTGTGCATTGAGTTACTAACTGAAACAGTATAATAGAGTTCAAAACTTCTAATTGACAATCTACAATGAAAAAATGGCAGAACTCACCCGACAAGTTTCTCTCATTCTTTCAATTTGATCTGGTGACTTGATCTACATATTAATATATCAGTTAGAAAGTGGAATAAAAGAATACAGAAAATGTGCAACTTGATCTTGAAAGACTAATATCAATTGAGTACACGGAAATGTTAAATTACCTACCTCAACAGTATGCTGCAGATCACTATTGGGCTCAATTATGGGAATTCCCTAAGAAAAGATAAAAACGAATTAGAAACCAATAAATCTTCGGAAATCATGAAAAGATAACTTCAGATTGTATTGCCGTAAAATGAATTAAATACTTTTTTTGAGAGAAATAAATTGAACACTTAAATTAGATGAAATGTTGAGTGTCTAAACAGGAAGAAGTCAGATTACTCACATCATCAGCCCAATCAGGTATAACAACATGAGCTGGGACAATCCGTTTAGGAGATATAGGATATGGCCGCAGCGCCCTTGCACGAGAAGAAAAAAGAATTGATTTTCAGCAAAATAATTGGGAAAAAGATGCAAATTGAAACAAAAAAGGAGAACATGGGGGAGAACTTTTATAAAAAGGAGTATGAATTGCAAAAACATGGACTAAGAAATGCTAGAAATTACCCAGTCCAGTCATAGTAAGGAAGCTTTGGACTTCGACCCTGCCCTCTCTTCACGCAATATAGCCATCCTTCACCAACTGAGTCTGAATTCTGTGTACCAGCTGAAGATAGCTTTGCCTTCAGATGCACTGATTTGTGCGAACTCCACGAAGATTTAAAACATTCTTGAGAGCTGTTAAAAAATACCAAAATTGATTCCAAATATTTGAAAGATATCAATACTGTGAGAAATAAAGTTCTGTGTGATTCAACAGTTGTAAGTTGTAACAGTAAGTATTTAGTAGTAATCCACCGTTCTCTCGTCACAATTAGCAACATTGCTCAACCTCGCCTTCTATATCGTGCCCTTCGGAGCAACAATGTCATCCATTTCACCATAATACTAATCCCTAATAACTAAACCAATCTATTATAAATATTAAATTAGATCAATCACAGCTTACTACTTTTCTTTTACAATAATTATAACAGTATTACCATATCCGTGTTTGCTGTCGCAGATCACAGAAAATAATGGTCTATTCAAATTTTACTATGCTACAACGTTATAGCCTCTATTTGGCAACACTATATACTAAATTGTGTATCGCGGAAATCCACTATATCCACTATTTGACAACACTGGACCAAAATCATTTCATACTTACCTATAAAGATTCAACAACCAAAACAATGAAACTTCAAATAACTAACAGTAGAACGGAATCACATACCAGAATGCAGAACCTTCCCGAGGAAGCTTCAATTCCATGCATTTCGGACACCTGATAAAACAATAACACAAAATACATAGCAAAGTTAAAATCAATTTGATCAGAGCTAGAAACTAAGTCTTAACCACATATCAACTCATTTCAAATTCAGAAATGGTTGGGACTTGGTTATGCAGGTATGGAACACGGAGAGAAAGGGGAAGAATACTTACTGAAGATTTGCAGGTTTGGAACAGTTGGCGCAAGAGAGTTTGTTTACGGATGCATCGGATTCACTGGACATCGTTTGAAAACAACTGGTTTCTAGGGTTTTGAGGATTTTGAGAGTGGAAATGTAGAAATGGGAAGAAAGTGTGTTTGTGCAGAGAAGAGGAAATTTATAACTTCGTGATGAGGGAGGTGAGTCGTGCTTTGGATTTGGGTCCGGTCAGTTGTCTTTTGCTGGATAAACCCATTGGGCCTGAAGGCCCATTTCCTTTAGGTTTTGTTTGGTAGGGTTTAAAGTGGATTGCTTATTGCACCCTTAAAATTTAAAAGTGCACTTTCGGACTTACCACACCATGTCCTCATTTTGTCAAAAATTAGTTTGGAAGTATACTTTTGAACTGTACGAGACATTATGAAGTTTTGGTCATTCATCTCAAGAGGTTTTAATATAGCAAGTTCTTAATAATTTATTCAATTTATTTTATCCACATTCAACTATTGATTTCTTTTCTTCTTCATGCCATCCAAGGGAATTTTGAGTTTGAAAGGATTTCTTTTATTCTCCGTGCCATCCAAGGGAACTTTGAACTTAAAAGGCTATAGGAAGTTTGTAATGTTATACTTGTAAAGGGCACTTACAAAGGCGGAGCCTTGCAGACCCATGAGGGGGCGACGACCATATCTCTCCCTCCATGTGATAGCGTTTTGCCTCAAATATATACTCCTCTATCAATTAAGGGAAATATGGAACAAGATGTTCCTTGGGCAGAGAGAAGTCATGGTCAATATTTAATCATGTCTCCTTTAAAATATATATATATTCGGCGGTCCACAATTAACTGAGTGGGCAGTGATCTTTCACAAGGAAATCGCAGGCCCAAAGGCCTCTATAAATACTTGTTAGAACAAAATTTGGTTCTAATCATATCTTAGAGTTTTGATGATAACAAAAGAAATAAATTTTGTGATATATATTTTATACTCTGACTTGTATGTTCTCTAAGATCAGATGAAGTTCTGTCTTACGCATCTTAGAAAGAAACAGCATTCTACGCAGGTATAAAGCAAACTTAGAAGGAAGCACTCCAAAGCAAACTCTGATAAAGAACAACCCTAAGAAACTTATGATAAAGCATACTGAAGCAAAGATCTGATAAATGCAAGATTAAAGCAAACTCTGATGATCACATACTGAAGCAAAGATTTAATAGAAGCACGCTGAAAGCAACATCTGATAAATGCAAGATTAAAGTAAACTCTGAAGATCACATACTGAAGAATACTCTGATAGAAGAATAGATCTAGTAAACTCTGAATTAGCAACACTGCAAGCAAACACTTCAACTTCCAGAGATAAGCTCTGACAGTACCGTTGGTTATTAAATGCTAAGACGGCTAACACACTCAAGAATACTACTCGCACTAGAATTAGAAACATAAAGACCAAGGCATCATTGCAAATACGCTTCATTAAATGCATGCACCATAATCAAAGGCACTAACGGTCAATTGGAAGCTATATATAAGACCTTTTGGATCAAAGAAAGGTTACTGACTTACGTGAAATATACTTACACTCACTGTTTTCATACTTGTAAACTAATATTGTATAGTGGGTAGTTCTTAAGTATTGGGCAACAATCTAAGTGAAAAATCACAGTTGTGATAAAGCTTTTTAGAAGCAAATCTTTTTCACTACTATTAAGAGACAATTTTGTAAGTGTTCCTTGAGAGACCAGTTGGGTCATATTTTTCAATAGGGCTAGGACTAGTTGAGTCTTAGAGGTTTTTGTCACTTGCAGTTAGCTTGTGCATTGTATTGTTAGTCACACCAGTTTGGTTGTGCGCTTGTAATCATTTTGATTATAGTGGATAAGTCCTCGTTGAGAGAGGCGAAATCACCTTGGCGGGTGGACTGGAGTAGTTTGAGTTTCAAACGAACTAGGATAAAATTACCAGTGTCCTTCCATTAGTATTGCGCTAGAAAAGAAAAGAAAAAAACACTTATTCAACCCCCCCCCCCCTTTCTAAGTGTTTTCTCAACCTTAAATTAACATCATAGCTCTAGTTCTGGGTGCAAACACCTAACAGTGTCAGAAAAAGATCCAGAAGGAAAACACTATGGCATCTTAACAAAACAACAACAACTGCACCAAACCTCCGTGTTTGATGGAGAAGACTTTGAATACTGGGAGGATAGACTAGAAAGTTTATTTCTAGGTCACGATGTTGATCTATGGGATTTGGTCCTTGACGGGTACACTCATCCAGAAGATAAAGATGGAAACAAAATTGACAGAAGGAACATGGATAAACAACAAAAGCTAGATTTCAAGAATCACCACAGAGCCAGAAACATCTTTCTGAACGCTATCTCGAAAAATGAATATGAGAAAATCACCAACAGAGATACGGCACATGACATGTTTGAATCCATCAAGATGACTCATGAAGGAAATGCTCAAGTAAAAGAGACAAAAGCTCTGGCTCTCGTTCAGAAGTATGAAGCATTCAAAATGGAAGAAAATGAGTCTATTGAAGTTATGTTCTCAAGATTCCAAACTCTGATTGCTTGCCTAAGAGTTCTGAACAAAGGATACACCGAGACAGACCATGTGAAGAAAATCATCAGAAGTTTACGCAGAAGATGGGAACCTATGGTCACTACATTCAAAGTATCAAAAGATCTGAATAACATTTCCCTTGAAGAACTTATCAGTGCTTTAAGGAGTCACGAGATAGAACTTGATAAACATGAGCCTCAGAAGATAGGTAAGTCTGTAGCTCTTAAATCTATTAAAAAATTTGAAACTAACGCTTTTCAGGAAGAAGAAGAAAACTCTGAAGATTCTGCATCAGAAGAAGACGAGTTATCTCTGCTCTCCAAAAGGATAAATCAGATGTGGAAGCATAGACAAAAGAAGTTCAGGAACTACAAGAGGTCAGAAGATAAACCAGAATCTTCTGGACATAAGAAGTCAAGCAGAAGAGATGTAGTCTGCTATGAATGCAAAGAACCTGGACACTACAGAAGTGATTGTCCCAAGCTGCAAAGAGAAAGACCCAAGAAAAAGTTTGGTAAAAAGAAAGGCATGATGGGCACCTGGGATGATTCAGAATCATCTGAAGCTGAATCTGACTCAGAAGATGAACACGCTAATCTAGAATTTATGGCTACCACAACAGATGACTCAGACTCTGACTCAGAACCCAAAGAAGTATTCTCTGAATTCTCTAGAGCTGAACTTGCTGAAAGCCTATCTGAACTGCTTGAAAACTACAGTAAACTCAAAATCAAATACAAGAAACTCAAAAAGAATCTTGAATCTGGTCTTGAGAAACTTGAAACAAAAAACTCTGAACTTAAAGAAAACATTTTTAAACTCAAAGAAGATGTTAAGAAATTTGAAAAGAACTCTATTTCAAATTCTGCTTCAAGCTCAAAAGATATTCTAAAAGAATATGTCTCCAATTTTTAAACGTTTCTCGCTAAAAGCATAGATAGAAGCAAAATGGCTTTAATGATCTATGGTGTTAGTGGAAATGACAGAAGAGGTATTGGATATAAAGCTCTCAGAGGGAAAGAAATATATAAACCTAAGCCTGTTGAGGAAATGGTTATATCATATAAACCACTACACAAGCAATTTAATTTTGGGCACACACATGATATCAAATACACTTCTCACTCTGAAAATTCCTATGCAAAATCAAAGTTCAATTTGAACTATAGAAACTCTAACCAAAAAGGACCCAAAAAGAAATGGGTACTGTTGTACCCCAAAATTTTCTCTCTCATTTATCAAGATTATTCTTTGATTCAAGACTGGATTAGGGTTTGATCAGCTCAAGACATCTCATCATGCACTGATGACCCAAAATTAGGGTTTGAGATTGCACAAGGATTTTTGGGCTATCAATGCTCCATATTACTTTCAAACATCATTATGGACCCCTAAGATTACTCATGACAAGTTACAGGCCTTGAACCACATTTTTGATCAGTCAATTGGACAGTTGACCTAAAAATCAATTGTATTGGGGAAAAAGTCAACCATGGCCAATTTACAGTCAAACTTCATAATTTGTGATCCACTTCAACATTCTAGACTCATATGTATCATTTGATCAAGTTTGGATCATAATTTCTCAAGAAATTTGATCAAATCGTCAAAATGGTCAAAATTAGGGTTTTGACTGGGGAAGGGCAATTTCTGATTTTTGACCTAGAAAGTGACCAATTGATTTGAAACATGATTTCAAGGGTTCATTTGTATCATCTTGACCTAATTACATGGTTCAAAACATTTCAATTCCATTGATAGACAGATGAAATTTGCAGTTAACTAATCAAAAGTCAACTGTATACTGAAAAGTCAAACTTTGACTTTTTGGTCAAAATCAAGTGCCAAGGGTCACAATTCATCAAAACATGTCAAAATTTGAAACTTGTTCATCAAGAAATAAAGGATTGAAGATTAGGTTTTAAAATTGGAAATTTTCTTAACTTAGAAATTTTTCTAAATATAGAAAATTTCTTATTTTTTCTCAATGTTAAGCCATTTTTTCACCATGATACAAGATGATTCAAGGAAAGTTCCCAACATGAAAGTTGTAGACCTCCATGAAATATAAAACTTTTCTTCACACATTTTTCCCTAAATATGCTTGGATCTCAAGATATAATTTTGTGAATACATGCCCATGAACTAAAATAACTTTGTGAAATTTTGCCCTAATTTAGGCAGGTTTTGGACCCAACTTCATGGAAATTTTTCACCTAGTTCCAAGAGGAATCTTGAAATGAATTTCAAATATGAGTTATAGAGCACATTGCAAGATTTCCAAAATGTCCAATAAATCCTCAATATCATTTTTTAGTATGGAGAATCGAAGAGATGAAGTTGACAATTTCTCACTTTGAATTCAAGCCATTTCATGAAGAACAATTTTCCAATCAGTACCTATGTTGCCTAATCCATGCTTTGCAGGTACCAAACTTGATTCTTACTCCATAATTTAATGCTTATTCAGTTGAAAAAGCTTTAATCCAAGCCCTGGAATCTTTATCCAAGT